ATCCATTGCACTGATGCACATCCGATACACTCACAACTGTTTAAGACATAACCGACATAATTTCATGAATACTGTCCAAAGCGGACATTTAAAACTCAATAACCTTGCCCCTTCATATTTATTGACCTTCTTAATATCTATATTCGATCTCGGACTTTAAGATCGTCTTCCTCGCTCACTCTTGTTCTCCCTAGAACCCGCACTACTTCTATGGGGTCCCGGGCTTTTAGTTTTGCAGCTCCTTATTTATGGAACCTGCTGCCACAGGATGTGCGAAACAGTGAAAGTATTCATGTTTTTAAATCTTGCCTTAAGACCCATCTTTTCCGGCAGGCTTTTATGTTTTATGTGATTATATATATATATATATATATATATATATATATATGTGTGTGTGTGTTAGGGCTGGGCAAAAAAAATTGATTTTTCGATTAATCGGTTTTTAAAATGTGGCCGATTCAAAATCGATTCTCAACGGCCTCGAATCGATTTTTTCCATATAAAGGGCTCGCGGACGCGGTGCGGCGTCTTCTCGTCTCACTGCACTAGGCAAGCACTAAGCTAGGGCTGAAACGATTCCTCGAGTTACTCGAGTTACTCGATTACAAAAATTCCTTGAGGCAAAAAATCTGCCTCGAAGCCTCGTTAAATGACGCAGTTCCTATGGCGCACGCAGGGATCTGATTGTTTCACACGGACCGTTATTCAGGAAGCACACCACAGCGCATGATACATATGACTTCATAAATTGCAGAGAATGTCTAAAGTTTGGGATCATTATATGTTTATAAAGGGAGAGAAAAGATGCAATGTGTCTGCAAAGTATACCTGGCAGGGCTGCCAACTCTCACGCATTCAGCGTGAGACTCGCGCAATTCGATTTTTCACGCTGCGTGTATATCCCTTCGGTCAAATGCCTGAAAGATGAGTTCGTCTATAGATCTACCTGTTGAGCCACTCGTGATCGACTAGTTTTACCGCCGCATATTAATTCGCAAGTTAAAATATCCTGTAATCTAGTGCGAGCGCGCATGCGAGATGTTGAGCTCCTAACCGCGGCTCGCGCACGACGGCAGAGAGGTAAGCGAGCGCGTGCACCCATGTCTCTCTCACGCGCCAGTCAGACCAATTGCGGCAATTCATCATATGCTTAAACTTTTATGTAGCCACGCAACAAAAATTTCAGCATACATTCACCGGGACGTGATGGAGGAACAAATATTGTGAGACACACACACACACACACTCTGATGTTTGTCTTGAGATTACAGTTGAAAAAGTCTGATTCTTATTTATAATTGTTTTATTTCCATTTATTTATTTTTTATAAATTGTACACATTTGTGTACCTGTTTGGGTTGATATTTTATATTAATATATTTTTGTTTCCAGGTGGGTAATTTGCAGAAGGTGCAATCCTTTTTTTGTAATGTTGTATTAAGAAGACAAAACTAAGGCCAAATGGGCTTTACTATTTAAGTTTGTATTCAAAGTTTTACATGTTATGGGCTACATGTAACAGGTTTTACAGTAAATTGTTTTAACTGTATTGTTATATAATTGTTGGCACTGGCACTTATAAACACGGGTAAAAATTGCAATAATTAGTTGTGGAGCCAAATGTTGCAGTTGGAATAAATACCTCTATTTTCTTTTAAATAAATAAAAGCCAAACACCTTATCATTTTCGTAATACATTATTTGTTTTGGTTGCTTAAAAACACACATAAACAAATTATCCGATTACTCGATTAATCGATCGATTAAGTGCTAGATTAATCGATTACAAAAAGAATTGATAGCTGCAGCCCTACACTAAGCGCTGCAGCTGTCGATACACACTCGCGTTTAGGAGTCGGGACACGACGAAATATTCACTTGCACAATCGGGCCAGCATTGCATCGTAACCTATGATGGTAACTAACGTTTATAATTTTCACGTCTTTTTAAGTTTTAGTTTAAACATTCAAGCAATATTAAACCATCCCGTGCTCGCGCACTCTCAGAGATGTCTTTCACTGCGTGCACATACAGTAAAGCCAATCCGCCTCAAACAGCTCGCCTGAAACAAACGTTTTATCCCTGGATTATATCGCTTTAACAGTTAAAAAACACGCGACATTATGTCAAAACTCTGGTATTGGTGAGTAAACCTCGTAAAGACAGTCTAATGTCTTAAATAAGCATTAAACGCGTGTGACAGACAGACAGTACAAATGAGACAGGGATCCGTTCTTAAAGTGAACGCAGCCATATGTGTCTGTCATTAATTCTGTTGAATTAAAACAACAGAATATAGCATTAATTCTAAGCAATCAGAATTAATAGCCTTTGTATTTAATTCAGTCTGGACTAAAAAGACTATCCAGTGTTATTTTACATTGGATTACTTTATTCAGTTTCTGTAGTATTTCTGACATACCAAAAAAACTCTTTATTCTATTCTATTTATTTGCTACTTTTTTCAGTTTAATTCGAAGATTGAAATCAAGCTTCCATGTGTTACTTAAACTCTTAACAAAAAAAAAAAAAAAAAAAAAAAAAACATTTAGGTAAGATCAACGTAAAAAAAATGTCTAAATATTTATATTTTTATTTATCTATATCTATCTCAAACATAAAATAACATGATCCTGTTTGATCAAGCTGTGTGACTGTTCTGACTTTTTTTGCATATTGCATCAAAATCCTGTCTATTCTTTGTATGCATTTAGTGTATCTAGAATAAAAAGAGTTTTATATACAGGTTTGTGGCTCTTAAAAAAACTTTTGCTGGTAATTTACTCACCCCCATGTCATCCAAGATGTTCATGTTTTTCTTTCCTCAGTCGAAAAGAAATTAAGGTTTTTGATGAAAACATTCCAGGATTTTTCTCCATATAATGGACTTACATGGGAACCAGACGGTCCAAGGTCCAAAAGACGGTTAATAACAGTTTCAGATGCAGCTTCAAATGTCTTTAAACGACACCAGACGATGAATAAGGGTCTTATCATGCAAAACGATCGTTATTTCAAAACTTATTCCAAAAATGTAACTTTTCTAAGGACAAATGCTAGCCTAGCTCTATTCTGTCAGGCGCGTTTGTAACGTCACGTATTACGTAATTACGTTCAAAAGGTCACGGGCGACGTAGCCGGAAGTACAGAATCAAAATCGTCCGACATCGTTGTTTTACCTTTTAATTACTTTTTTGTAAACAGCGTTTGAGTTAGTTTGCACGTTCAACCTATGCGTTCAACTTGTAAACACTGACTCTGTACTTACGGCTACGTCGCCCGTGACCTTTTGAACGTAATCCTGCTGCCGCCACAGAGTGCCATTTAGTTTTATATAAAGTTTAAATTATTTTATTGTCTCAAATCGTTGATAATGTATACTGACTTTGCCCTATGCTGCAATAAATTTAGTTTTGCATTCATTTACATAAATCAGCTGCTTGAATGACAATTGCTGATGTAATTGGGTTTTCATGTGAGATCTCAATTCATTCAGTTAACTGATGCTCTGAGGTAGTTTTCAGACTGCAGACTCAGCAACGATTGTATTTAATTGTACAGTACAATTATAACATAGAACAAACATCTTCATTTCATGTCATTAAACATAACAATATTGCTGCCCATACACTGATGAGAAAGTGTGAGTCCGGTGTGCGATACTTGGAGTTGTCCTAGACGTGGCGCAGCGCTGCGCTTCTCATTCGGTGTGCGACCCCCTTTACGGATGTGTATTTCACTGCCACTTCAATTCACTGTTCACACACACACACACAAAGTCCCCACTTGGTTGGATAGATATCATTCAGAAAGTTCCCTCTTGGCTAGTGTGCAGCGACACTTCTGTGTTAATACATGTATATGTTAGTAATATAGACGTGTGTGTGCAATGGCACATAACTATGGCAAGTAAATTGTTAGGGACTGCATAACAAAGCATAGAAAGTATATGAAGAGAGAGCGTTAAATAAGAAAAATAGTATATATATATGCATAATGTATATAATAGATGTATAATTTAACTGTAATGAAGACATATTTCACTGCCAGTTCACACACACAAAGTCCCCACTTGGTTGGATAGATATCGTTCAGAATGTCCCCTCTTCGCCAGTGTACAGCGACACTGCTGTGGTAGTAATATATAAATATATAGTTTTAGATCGGTAAGATTGTTTATGTTTTTAAAAGAAGTCTCTTCTGCTCACCAAGGCTGCAATTATTTGATAAAAAAAAAAACAGAAATATTGTGAAATATTATTACAATTTAAAACAGTGTTTTTCTATGTGAATATATATATTATATATATATATATATATATATATATATAATGTATATAATAGATATATAATGTAAGCGTAATTAA